GCTCTTACCCGCGGCTCACAATGAATATAAAGTGCAACTGCGGATGTTCTATTCAGTGTTTGTCTTTAGGATATCGCTTTGCTGCACAGTACATCTGCCGCCCATGGGCGTTGGATCTTACAAACAATAAAAGGACAATAATGGTGTTCTTTTGGCGAATGGATATGAGTGGGCGATCCAAAGGACCGGGATTGAGGGTACTCTATTCCAAGATGCAATTTCTTTTATTGATTAGGCCAGCTATAAGCTAGGATTACAGCTGCACGTTTTATTAACATGGGCCGGATTGGCAGTCCGACAAGCCTAGTGTTCAGCGATCGATTTGCACATCTAATGAGGCTTTCTACTTTATCATGAAATGGGGGCAATCCAAATGTTGTTTTGGTAATTTCGGGCTTTCTTACCTCCGAACAGGCGATTGAAAATAGCAAATAATTGGCAAAGGTGCTGTGAAAATCACGAGGGGAAGACACGACGTGCAGTGAAATGCCAATTAAGCTTGACGTGCAAAATTGCCGCTTTTGGGCAGATGTGAATTTAACAAGAGGCGAGAAGCCACTCCCTTTTTCTCTTGCCGCAATTGCGGGAAATGGAGGCGGAGTTGGGAAGGACACAAACATGAACTGGCTTGCGTGGCCTCCCCTCGTCAGACTGCAGCTACCGAGTGAAGGAGAGCAGGGGTGGCCATGGCCCTCCCGGGGGTTGTGCGGGCAGCAGGGACAATAATGCTAGATTGACAACCTGGTTGATATACGGGCAGCTCCTCCCCCCTCCTCCATTCCTTTCTGATATTAGAGTACAATAACAATGGGGCTGCTGTTTTTTTTTCTTTTTGCTGTCACTGTATGTGGCTGTGTCTAAGGCACATCGGGCTGCGAGGTAGATACAACTGCAACACGAAAAAGCTTTCCGTTTTGCTGCACGGCTTTATTGTCGCTGCCATGTTGCGTGCCCGCATACACTGTTTTTGTTCTTGTTCCTGGGTGCTATGGATGTTAAAAAAGCTACACCCCTGCTCAAGCTAAATCTTTTTTAGGCTGCATGGAAAAAGGGAGCACCTGGGGGGTCGCTAGGGGGTGTTGCGGCGCTGGCCCAGCCTTCAGCGACTATTTAAGTTGCTCCGCCGGCACCGGCCTCGCAGAAACACCATCTTTTTCCAGCATACATTTCCCATTACCAATTTTGAGGAATCCTGTCGCTTTGATAGAAATAGACTCGAGATTCTTGTCACTCGTTCACTTTCCAGCCATTGTTTTAAAAGAGGTTAATTACCTTGTTTTTTCTTTCTTTCGTGTATTTTGCATCCTGATTCTATAATGACCGAGACGTACCACGGATTTATTGATTCTGCTTACGATGCGCTACTGATATTTGAGGCATGCTGCCTTGGGCTGCTGCCACGCGTGCCACGGCGGTTCACTGATCGCGAGCGACAGACGATCCGCTCTGGCGCTGTATACGTGTGGGACGAGGAGGAGACGGGGATGCGGCGATGGACGGATGGGCGAACATGGTCGCCGTCGCGAGTTCACGGATGCTTCCTAATATACTACGAACTGGAGGGCCGGCGGCACCAGTTTGTCAACCGCAACCAGAGTGCACGCGGAAGTGCTCGTGGGTCGCCGCAAGGCCATGCGGAGAAATCACCGCTTCATGTATCCTACGATCCCTGCCCGCCCAATGTCATGCAAAAGGAACAGGGTCTCATCAAGAAGGCGCTGTCGCTCTGCACAAACGACAAGCGCAAGGTACATCTTGTATGCTACTATTCGCGCGAGGATGTCGAGAACGGGTGCCTGACGTCGCCGACCAATGACCCGCGCTTTGCCGGCATCCAGGTATATGAGGACCGGTATCCTGAACTCGGCAATGGGTCTGGCCGTTTCGACCGCTATGGCGGCGGCCGCTCGCGTTCACTGGCCAGCTCGCGTCAGTGGCGGCAGATCTCGGACACTTCTGGACAGCAGCCATCAGCCTATGCGCGTCCACGCCCGTACCGCACCGAAGTCTACAAATATCCTAGTTACGGGCCTTATGCCGGGCCTGTGCGCCATGTCAACGTCGCTGCATCAGTGCCGCCTTATGGCGTGATGCAGTCGCCTGAAGAGTATCCACGGTATCCACCACAGCCTGTGTGGCAGCACAGCGAGCCGCCCGCAGTGTACAATGTGCCATATGACACCGGGCCGCGTCGGAGCTCGCAAGTGGCGCCGACCGAAGCGGCGATTCATTCAGGGTGGATTCAGGCATCGGAGCCGCCGTCTCAAGTTCCGGCCCAGGCCATTACGCTACCGCATTCACCGTCGGCCATCCGGCTGCCGTCAATCGAGAATCTCAGCGCAGGCGCTGCACAAAAGCAGCCGCATGCATCAAAGGGCGAGACACGGATGACCAGCGAGGATGTTCGGCAGCTGGCATCCCTGCGCATGAGTCTCCACCATTGGGGATAACATTTATTTTCCTTTTTCCTTTTTTGTTTAATGTGGCGCTACTGGAAATAAAAGGAATTACATGTTGTCCAAAATAGCTGCAGCCGAAATCCGACAGCGAGTATCGTTTAGTGATGGTCGCTGGTGGGAATTGGGAATTGCGGCGCAAGTGACGTTTGCCGTATCAAAGAGATAAGGTTTTAATTTTTTTGTAACGACTTTTGCTATATTTGTTGGTTGTGGCCAGTGGCCGGTCACATGCTGGAAAATGGGGAAAGGGTGGGAAATGTAAATCTTTAGTGGTTGGACTCGTGGCCCGTGCTCATGAGTCCCGCTCATCCATCCGGCCCATGTGCGCTTTAGATCTTTCTTCTAACTTTTAACTTTTGCTCTATTTTGCACTCTTACAATATGAACTCTGATATAAATGAGGCATCGCCATTGCTTTCGGATCAACTCAATGCACAGCACCATGTCATTACTTATGAAACAGCTGACCACCAGCAGCCCATGGATAGCTTGATTCGTCGTAGAAGCAGCGCTAGTTTGTCACGTAAGCTAAAAAAAGAATTGTCTGAATACAAAGCCACGCTTTCTTTTTTGCTTTTCGTTGTTTTTCCTTTTGCCTGTAAATTAGTCGTGAATTTGTTGCTAAACTAGAGTAAAACGATTAATGCGCGTTGGACGGTATATAGGCTGGAAGGGCTATGTCGAAGCAGTAAAATCTTCACAGGCGATTACAGCACTACCAGCGATTATCCTCGCCGTCAGCATCGCACATTTGCCGGTTCCCGAGGGTCTAACCGACACAAGTATGCGGTTACTCGGCGTATTTGCAGGGTAAGTTGCGCAGCGAAATATTCAAATTGGTTATGGTCACTAAGCAATATAATTACACTCGGCATAGGGTAATCGTGGGATTGTTGACAGCTGACTATGACATGTCTGTTATACTGGCAGCGGCGCTACTCGTGCTGACGCTGACTAAAAGCTTTATGTGTACGACAGCGAGCGGACACAGTATTGAATGTGACAGATGTAAAACCATGTATCGCGGCGACGGCGGACATTGGCACGAGTACACTTGCGATCCAATAGGCGGCAGCTTTGAGGTTGCCATTTCGGGGTTCTCAAACAAAGTTTCGTGGCTGGTGTTTTGTGCGTTCCATATTGGCAAAGCAGTCGAGAAAACAGGGTTTGGTAAACGTGTATCGCTAGCACTTGTCGGGTCCATGGGTCAGTCGGCACTTGGAATTGGATACGCAGTGTGTCTGGCCGAGCTGATTTTGGCACCATTCATTCCATCCAATACGGCACGCGGCGGCGGAATTGTCTACCCAATTGTAGAGTCTGTCATTGCGTCGCTAGGCGTTGATCCACACATTGGCGAAGACCCCGTAGGCGGGTTTCTGTCGTTTGTAGCAGCAAGCGCTAACCTGATATCGTCGTCCTTGTTTGTCACTGGAATGGCCGGAAACCCAATTGTAGCGAGCAAGGCGGCAGACATATTTGGCATTGAGTTTGGGTTCTCCGAGTGGGTTATTGGCGCCAGTGTGCCAGCATTGCTGATCATGCTTCTGCTACCGCCGTTTGTCCACATTTTGCTACGACCTAAGCTCGATTTCACCAATCTTTCACAAAATATTCGCCGCCAACATCATGCGCTGGGCGCCATGTCTGATCAGGAATATCGGCTATGTGCGACACTGCTCACATGCTTGGTCTTGTGGGTCGGCACCCCGTACTTTGGAATTGACGCTACAGTTGTTGCGTACATGGCAATTGTTATTCTAATTCTGCTAAACGTGCTGACATGGAGCGATGTGGTCAAGAACCACAAGGCGTGGGACACGTTCTTTTGGCTGGCCTCGTTTATTGTCCTGGCCGAGCAACTAACCGCACTTGGAGTCACCGACTGGATCGGCAACTCTCTCTCGCGATCACTTCACAACGCTTCGCCGCTCGTCTGCACAATATCGCTGTCTCTGGCGTATTTCTTCTCCATGTACATGTTCTCGTCCATCTCGAGCCACGTGGTTGCATTTGCCGGCCCGTTCTTTGCTGCTGGCTATGTACTGGGTTGCCCGCCAAAGCTGTTGACTATTTTGGTTGCTTTGTTCAGCTCGCTGGCCGGCATTCTGACTCCGTTTTCAACTGGTTCGGTCGCCATATATGCCTCTCAGGGCTATATTTCTCAGCCCAAATGGTTCATGTTTGGCCTGCTGTTCTCTGTTCTCAGTCTCGTAGTTGTATTTACCGTTGGCTTGATTTGGTGGAAGATTATCGGGTGGTATTAGACTAATATAGTTTTGTAATATGCAAAAGCATGGGTTTACTGTCCTGACGTCATAATGAAACGTTTTGCAAAGTGTTAGGAATGATTGATTGTGGAGTGCATTTTCATGGATTTGGTTTAATATATAAGAATGATGGAGATGTCAAAGTGGCGATCAAGATCCCTTTTCCATCTTTTTCTTTACACGTTCTTTTTGGCATAGTAACCTGTTGGTTTATCTTTTTAATTTGTAGACATCTCGCGAGTTCTACAAATTAGCTTGGAAAACGTTAGTCGGTGTGGTAGCGAAGAGGTCAAACGCGTTAGGCTTAAGCCCTAACCCCGTAAGGGTTCGTGGGTTCGAACCCCACCCGCACCATCTTTTGATGCAGCCACATCTTTTGCTAGAAACGATGTCTTTTGGATCCGGCGGTTCAGACGGTACATTTGACCCAAAAACCAACATAAAATGATGTGAGGAAGCATGGTTTTAATATGCGGCGGTATCTAGATTTTATCAGTGATTCTTTTTTGACATCCCCTCCAGAAGCTCGGTTCAGTGAACGGGGGGATAAAGATATGACGAGGTAAGTTATTTGATCAAGTGTGTTTTTTATTTCATTCAATTAGACAACTTTATACTTTTGCATCACAGCAATGGAAAGGGCGGCAGCTTGGCATGGTGACCCTAGAAACATCCAGCTCTTTGATTTGGGGCACTAGTGACACAACTTTTCAGTGTGCGAATCTTCTGTGTGCACAGCTCTTTCCGTGCGCAGCTCTTTGGTGCGCACAGCTATTTTACGCGTTGCTTTTCTGTGTGCCGTACATGTGCCTATATATATTGCTTGGTTTTGTATATAAAACTTTCAATTTTACAACTAGTTATATCATCAAATTATTTCCAATATAATGCACATTATGTTTAACATACTATATATAAACATTTATAGTCGCTAAGCATAGTAGAGCTATGTATCACTATTGCACCACATTACTAGAGTACAGTGTGTCAAAAATATTTACCTCGTAGAGAAGTTTGCCAACAAGTTGTGCACTGCTAGATCCACGCATGGAATAACCATAGAACAAAAAGCGGTGAACAATAGGACCATATGCCAAAATACCCACAAACCACTAGAAACATGTACTGCTAGAGCCGTGTACTGCTAGAGCTGCACACCAAAGAGCTGAATGCCACCAGAGCCGCAGTTCATAGAGCCACAATGGTAAACTGCCGTTCTTTTCATTATTGTAATGTAAACTGGCATAAACTGCTAATTTGAGCAGGGGCACCACTGTGTTAACATAACATTTTGTCGTCGATGGAGTAGGTTTTATTACTTGTAATTGCAAAAACAGCAGTGCTTGTGTAGAAACAACTAGACTAATGAACAACAATAAATGCACCGACAGCATAAATATTGCGAGAAATGTGTATTTTTAAAACTTACTGAATATGTGATACAGAACGCGGAACCCGAGTCAATACAGCGAAAGCACAGTCATGGCATGGCATGATATTGATCGCACAGTTATTGTGTGATCAATATCGGAATCAGTAACTGCCAGTTACACAAGACCCGAGTGTGCCCAGACATTTATGCTGACTATGAATGATGGGGAACGCGAGCAAAGCTAGAGTTTTCATTATCTACTTTTAGTATTGTCATTATAATATATTCTTACGTCGTTTACCGTATATTCTTATTAGAGTTCTACTGGTACATCGTATAATTCAAAGTGACAAGAATGAAACATTGAATGTCTTCAAATAATGTTCAGCTCAAAGGCTCGATTACCACTTTGGCGGCCATAGCTTTCTTAACATTAAACGCCACCACAGTACGCATTAACAAAAATAGAACCAGTTTTATTAAACAAATAATATTTACGCAATGTCCACCAACTGAACAGTAAAAGTCAAAGTCGCGTTGGGCGGGATACCACCGGCTTCATTACCACGCTGACCGTATGCCCACTCGGGCTTAATAGTCAGCTTGACTTTCTCGCCACGAACCATGGTCATCAAGCATTCGTCCCAGCCGCGAATAACCCGGCCCGTTCCGACCTTGAACACGAGCGGCGTGGGCGGCTTGCGGCCCTTGTGTTCCGTATTATCGTCAAACACAGTTCCATCCTCAAGCATGCCCGTGTAGAAAACGCTAACTCGGTCGCCCTTGGCTGGGCAGCGGTCTCCAGTTCCTTTCTTGAGAACAACTTTATCGTATTTTATTTCCTCGGGCTTGTCCGAGTCAGGCTTTGATTCTACGGCTGCAATAGGTTTGTCTTGTTTGATTGACGTTGCGGATGCTTCGTCGGCGGAACGGAACTGCTGAGTGGCGAATAGGTCTGTGTACGCTGATATTAGGTGGGGCTTTTTGGTCGTTTTGACCACGTTGGGCAGTTTGCCGTTTAGCTTGTGCTTGAGCAGGAACTCGTTGCTGCCGCTCTCTTGGAGAAACGCGGCCAGGTCCTTTTTGCTAACACTGTCGCCCGCCAGCTCTTCGGCCGTCCATTTCTGTTCAATTGAAGCCATTTTTTGTTATTGTGAAAATACTTACGCAAAAAAGAGCAAAAGAGAACTGATCACTCCAGATCAAATTGTAAATGTTGTTCGGGCGGCTTTGCCAAGGCTATTGTTCTACAAAAGATTGCCGTAGTATAAATACAATTGTGATTTAAGGTTGTCTCTATTCTTTTTTTATATTACCATGATGTTTTATACAAGTGAAAAATGCGAGTTTCAGCGGTGGCATCGAGTCTGTCGGTTGCATACACTAGATGTTAGACGAGTTTCAACACCTCGACTAGTAAATACTGGGTGTCTCGTACTCGTCCGAGCTGTTTTTTTGCTATACACGCTGACTGTATGGATAGCAACTATAGTATACGATGTACAAACAGGTGTGATGAGCGGGCATTTTGCATACTTTACGTATCTCTGCTACACAGGTTTAGTTGCATATATGGCGTCTTCGCTAATCCACACAGTGTTGTTCTGGCGGCGCTCAACACACGTGTCCTTTCAAAACATGCCGCGAACATTGCAGCTGTTTCATTGGCTTTTATTCGAGTCAGTTGTAGTATTTGCAATGCTGGTTACTCCAGTGTTTTGGGCTGTGCTGTACAGCGCAGACAAATATGTGGGCGGGGAGCACCGGTGGCTAAATGCGTCGGTGCATGCAGCCAACCTCGGATGTATTTTGGTTGATGTGGTGGCCGGGTCAATGGTGCTTTCGCCGCATTGGATTCATCCTGCGATATTGGCATTTGTGGTTGTGCTGTATCTTGCGCTGGCATATCTAAACAAGGCCATTAACGGGTGGTTTACGTACAACTTTATCGACTATACCCGGCATCATTGGATGGTTCTGGTATTCGCCATTGGAATTCTAGCCGCCATTGTGCTCGTCTATTATATCATCTATGCATTGCAACTATTGTTGGACCGCTTTCTGCCGCCAAAAGTATCCCTCTCCAGCCCACTCCCACTTTCCAGCGACTCTGACGACGATGGCGAGTTCAAGGCATAATTTTATACTGATTTGATTTATAGCTACGCTTGATTTTCATTGTTGGTGGGGAAATCAAAGGCCGGCTCAAGTCCGGTGGCCAATCACCTGAGACTTGAAGGTGTATTTTTAGCCAACGCCGCTCTTTCTTCTTTGCACACAAATTTATTCCTGGCGTAAATCCACTTTATTTTTCCACAGCATCTTTTTTTGTCCTGTTCTATTTACACTCTTTCACCTATTTCTGTACGCAGACAGGACGAACCACATCTTTTCTCCTCTTCTCTCTAGTGGTTTGATAGCCCCTTTTTTGCCTTTTGTTATCTGTCTATTTTGCACACTAGATTTATTCTCTCTAGTTTGGGTCACTAATTTTTCTTCCCCGGCTACAGGAATAAACGTATAAAACTTTGTGCTTAATTTTAGGGGTGGAAAATATCTAAATAAGCTCCGTTTAGCCTTTGCTTTACGTACAGAACGTTCCGTGGGCCCTTCCCCTCCCCCTTTTCCAACGCTTTGGTTGATTTTTCGGGCTATAATTTTATTGGCATTGATTCGAAACCCCCTTGCATCAACTTTAAATATAAAGAATGGGCCGTAAAAAGATCAAGATCCAAACGATAAAGGATGAGCGTAACCGGCAGGTGACGTTTCTCAAACGCAAGGCAGGGTTGCTGAAGAAGGCGTACGAGCTGAGCGTGCTGTGCGACAGCGAAATTGCAGTGGTGATATTCAGCTCGCAGAACAAGCTCGTGCAGTATGCGTCGACAAACATGGACAAGGTGCTTATGCGCTACACAGACTTTGGCGAGCCCAGCGAAAGCCTGACAAATGCACAGTGCGCAGCAATGTACGGCGATGGCGAGCATGATGACGACGACTTGGTGCAGCCACAGAGCGCGCCGTCGCTGGGCCATCACGGATCAACACCCAGCATCCAGGCACACGAATTTGCGTCGCAGTTTGACGGACCCAGTTCATCTGTAGCGGCAGCCGCGGCAGCAGCAGCATCAATACGTTCGCCACACGTAAACGAAGCGCAGCGGTCACAGTACGGAGACGCGGGGATTCCGTTTGGCGCGTCGGCTGAGATGTCAGGACTGCCAATGGCGCCAGCGTACATGGCACCGCAGACACCACATATGCCGACTGTGTACTCGCCAATTCAAGGCGAACTGGATGCGTCAGGCAACGCCATGTACTATTCAGGGCCCACGCCAACATCGGCGATGCACATGCCGCGCGTCATGTCGTCAGGAGCGTTTGCACCAAACATGTCGGCGTATCCGTACGCGCTGTCGTCGGTCAAGCCGCAGGCCACCATCCAGCCCTCGCAACAACAACAGCAACACCATCAACATCCGCAGCAGTTTGCATATGCACAGCCGATGCTACGTGCATATCCATACCAGCAGCTGAACGCATATCCGTCGCCACAGGGTCAGCCAGGGGTGTCGGTGGCGCTAGGACCTGATGGCATTGCACCGTCGGCGTCGATGATGTACTCGATCAGCCAGCCGTACCAGCCGGGGCAGGTGCTGGGCCGCTCGATGGACTCGTACCGTTCGCGGGTGACCGGCGCAGGGCAGGTGGGCGCCAATCCTCCATCAACGCCGCAGTACATGTTGTATCGCATGCCTGACGGCAGCACGCAGGCAATTGAGACGAGCCAGCACTATCAGCAGCCAATCATGACGGATCAGCCAGGGTCGCTGCAGACGATTGCAGAGGACGAGGGCGACGCATACAACACGCCAGGCGCAGACCAAGGGCTCAATCAGGACCAAGAGTTTGACCAGAATCAGGACGTGTACGCGCATGAGCAGCTCGAGTCTGCGGGCGAAGCCGACGCAGCTGCGGCTAG